CAGGCCCCCTCAAGCGTGGAGATGACGGAAAAGGCCATTCGCATCCTGCGCAGGAATCCCAATGGCTTCTTCCTCTTTGTGGAAGATGAGTAGCCCCAGGCGGGCAGCATGGCTGGGACTGGGGTGGGACGCAGGTCCTGGGAGAATGTGGGTGTCCCAGGGGACCCGGGAGGGGATGACGACCACATTCCCCATGCAGGTGGCAGGATTGACCACGGCCACCACAGCGGCCGGGCCAAGCAGGCACTGATGGAGGCCGTCATGCTGGACCGGGCGGTGGCACGGGCGGGCGAGCTCACGTCCCCCTCCGACACTCTGACCGTGGTGACAGCCGATCACTCCCACGTCTTCACCTTTGGAGGCAACACGCTGCGTGGCACCTCCATCTTTGGTGGGTCCCAGGGAGGGGTAGTGAGCGTCCTGATTCCCACCTTCTCCTTTTGCTCCCGCTGGAGGCCAAGCCAGCCAAGGTGGGTAGCTGGGGAGAGGTACCCAGCTGGGACAGGGTGTGAGAGCATCTCTCCCTGTGCCAGGGCTGGCCCCAAAGAAAGCCAAGGACAAGCGAGCCTACACCAGCCACTGAGGCTGCACGGGGTCCTGGTGCCACCGCCTGGCTCAGGTGACCTTGGGCAGGAATCGCCCAGACGCCAGGGTAATGGGAGCTGCCCCCCCCCCGATCCCTGCGAAGGGTAGGGGAGCCTGCTGCCCCCAGCCCCATTTCTCCTGCCTGCCCTGCAGAGGACAAGGACTACAGGCAGCAGGCAGCCGTGCCCCTGGAGACGGAGACCCACAGCGGGGAGGACGTGGTGGTGCTGGCCCAGGGCCCCATGGCCCACCTCTTCCATGGGGTGCAGGAGCAGCACTACATCGCCCATGCCATGGCCTATGCTGCCTGCCTCGAGCCCTACGCCACCGAGCCCCAGTGCAGGGCAGCCCGCAGGGCGTCCCGTGGCACCCAGTGCCCCCCGCCACCCCTGCTCGCCCTCCTGACCCTCTGTATGGCCGCCCGCTTGGTGGGGGGCTGAGAGCCACGGGTGAGCCCCACTTCAGCCCTGGCTGCCCCATCAAGGGTCTCATCAGCTGAGTCCCCACTGCGGCCAGGATCAAGGGATGCAATAAAACATGGGTTGTTTGTCTCCATCTGCCACACAAGGGTTTGCGGCAGTAGTCACCTCCTAGGGTGCTGCCCTGTGCCTCAGTTTCCCCAGGTGGTCGTGGCTTCTAGTTCCCCCCCAGGACCACCACACATTGTGGTGCAGGAGGTGATAAAATGAGGGTGAGGGGAGGCCATGCCCACACCAGCTTTGCCAGGCTGGGGCACAGTACACAAAGGTTGGTACCCTCCCCACAAGAGCTAAGAAAGGAGCAGAGTTTTTGTCCAGATGAGTGGATTTATTGCTCAAGGAAGTGCTGGGAAAAGAGCAGGGCTGCTCATTGCACGAGTGACCCCCAGGTGCTCCCGAAACCCCTGTTGCCCCAGGTCTGATGCTCAGCACTGCCTGTGGCACCCCTGCCAGGCACTGTCCATTGCCTCGCTCCCTGCATCTGTGCCCCAAGTCCCTCCGTCCCCCAGCAGCAGCAAGGTGGTGTGCCAAGGAGGTGCCTCCAGCCCAGCCCCATGGCCTTTGTGCCGGCTGCCCGGCAGGACTCTGGGCTATAGGAGACTTTGCCAAACCCCTCCACTCACCCCTCAAGGGCTGGTCCGGTCCGAAGTCCCTCCCCAGCTCTGCTAGAGCTGCAGACGCTGCCAGCAGTGTTGGGCTACCGGATCTCACCATGCAGCTCCTGGCACCCCTCACCCTCTGCCTGGGCCTCTGGACAGGACTCAGCGCTGCTGTCATCCCAGGTGGGGACAAGGACGGGGACGGGTGCCTGGCTGGCTGCAAGTGGGTGCCCAGGGAAGTGGGGCACCCAGCAGGGCACCAGCCTGGCTGGCCACAAGGGAGGGTTTGGGGTGGGGGCAGGGGCTGCCTGGCTCTGCAAGGGTTAATGAGTGTTACCCCTGCTTTTCTGAGGACATTGAGCCATTTTTTCCCTGAGGGCTCAGGTTCCTGCTTGCTTCTGGGCTGGGGGAGACACGTGTAACCTCCCCCCTCCATGAATGTAGCCCCATCTCACCTGCCAGATGGTGCCCCCCATCATGACCCTTTTTGCTGCCCTCTCCTCTGCCCCAGGACCCCGGGGCCAAGCGGTGGATGCAAACCTGCATGGCCTTTCCCAATCCCAAACAGCACCCTGACCCACTCAGTCCATGTCAGAGAAGGCCCCAGCACAGGAGGTACCCCTGGGATGCGGGTGTCCCAGGGGTGCGGGTACCCTGGGGATGTGGGTGCCGGAGAGCTGGGACTGATGGGTGCTGCCCTGTCCCAGTGGAGGAGGAGAAACCATCCTTCTGGAACAAGCAGGCAGCCGCAGCCATCGAGGCCTCCTTAAAGATCCAGCCCAGAATAAGCCAAGCCAAAAACCTCATCCTCTTCCTCGGAGACGGTGAGTCCTGCTGACAGCCCTGGCGGGCAGGCTGGCACAGCCAGTTCCCCTCAGGGCGGGATGTGGGGAGGGTACCTGGTCCAGAGGGTAACCACGACCCTCTGTCCTCACCCAGGATTCGGGATCCCCACCATCACGGCCACCCGCATCCTAAAGGGGCAGGAGCAGGGGAAGCTGGGCCCTGAGACCCCCCTCGCCCTGGATGCTTTCCCCTACGTGGCTCTCTCCAAGGTAAAGCACCGTCATGCTGGGCATGGGGCCAGGGTGATGATGCCCACAGGGCTGCTGGCACAGAAGCAGCCTGCGGATGCGCATACGGGTTGCAGGGGGGTCCCTGCACGTCCCCCACTTGCCCTCAGGCATAAGAGTGAGGGTGGCAAGGGGTGCTGGGGGAAGCAACCCCCCGGGTGCCTCTGCCAACCACCCCCTGCCCTGAGCCTGCCGTGTGTCCTCGGCAGACCTACAACGTGGACCGGCATGGTCTCGGTGCTGGAGCGAGCCCGCAAAGCTGGTAATGGGGGGCACAGGGCAGCGGGGCTGGAGGCGACCCTGCAGGGGCAAGGGGCATCAAGTCGGGGGCTGCCCCCTCCACAAGCATCCCAGGGCTCAATGATGTGGGACCCTGTGCCCCCACCGGCCGCCTTTCATGGGGCCTGACGGGTGAGCACAAGTCTTACGAGGAGCGGCTGAGGGACCTGGGGTTGTTTAGTCTGGAGAAGAGGAGGCTGAGGGGAGACCTTATCGCCCTCTACAACTGCCTGACAGGAGGCTGTAGCGAGGTGGGGGTCAGCCTCTTCTCCCTGGTAATGGACGATAGGACAAGGGGGAATGGTTTGAAGTTGCACCAGGGCAGGTTTAGGCTAGACATTAGGAATGTCACAGAAAGGGTTTTCAGGCTCTGGAATGGGCTGCCCAGGGAGGTGGTTGAGTCCCCATCCCTGGAGGTATTTAAAAGAAGGATAGATGAGGTGCTCAGGGACATGGTTTAGTGGTGGGATGGCAGGGTTAGGTTAAAGGTTGGACTTGATGATCTTAAAGGTCTTTTCCAACCAAAGCCATTCTATGGGGGGGCGGCAGGGAAAGCGGTGGGCATCGTGACGACGACGCGGGTGCAGCATGCGTCACCCTCGGGGACATACGCCCACGTGGTGAACCGCAACTGGTACGCGGATGCCAACATGCCTGTGAACGCGCGCAGCCAGGGCTGCAAGGACATCGCCTGGCAGCTGGTCCACAACGTCGACATCAACGTGAGCACCCGTGCATGGGGAGGGAGGTGGAACAAGGGCAGACCCCCGGGCACCCCCACTAACACTGCGCCTGTCTCATCCCCTCCAGGTGATCTTGGGGGGTGGTCGAAAATACATGACCCCCAAGGGGACGCTAGACCCCGAGTACCCCACCCACTCCACGTCAAATGGGATACGAGAGGACGGGCATAACCTCATCGACATGTGGCTGAAGGCACACCCGGTGGGTGACGTAGCAGGGACAGTCCTCTGCCCTCCGTCCCTGGGCACAGGGCCCGGCATCCACTAACCCCCCGTGGGATTTGCCCACAGGGTGCCCTCTATGTCTGGAACCGGACAGAGATGCTGGCCGCTGCCGCTGACCCCAGTGTGAATTATTTAATGGGTAACAAACATCCTGTGTGCTGGGACCTGGCAGCCACTGGGACATGTGCAGGCGCTGAGGCTGTCCCCAACACCTCCCCTTCTAGGTCTCTTCGAACCCACGGACATGAAGTACAACATGTTGCGTAACACAACCATGGACCCGTCACTCACCGAGATGATGGAGGCAGCCATCAAGGTCCTGAGCAGGAACCCCAATGGCTTCTACCTCTTTGTGGAAGATAAGTCAGGGCCGGTGCCCCTGGGGTGGGCGAGAGGGGGGTCCCACATCCCGGGGTGGCGATAAGAGTTGGGGGTGTTGCTGTCGATCCCTAGTACCATGGGCGCCCATCTGCAGGTGGCAGAATTGACCACGGCCACCACGATGGTGCAGCCCATAGGGCACTGACCGAGGCAGTAGAGTTCGACCGGGCCATCGCACGGGCAGGTGCCCTGACGGATGAGGCACAGACCCTCACAGTCATCACTGCTGACCATTCCCATGTCTTCTCCTTCGGCGGCTACACCCTGCGTGGCTCCTCCATCTTCGGTAGGGCTCTGCCCAGCTGCCAAGCGTGGGGCATGGCCCCTTGCTGGGCACTGCCAGCTCCAGGGCACCCTGGCTGGGGCCAGAGGGGTGATACGAGGGTTTCTTGGATGATCCCCCCCCATCCATTGCCCCATCCCTAGGTCTGGCCCCCAGCAAAGCTGTTGATGGGAAGAACTACACCTCTATCCTCTATGGGAATGGACCGGGTTATCCAGGCACCAACCGGAGCGATGTGGACATTGGAACAGCCAGTGAGGGCACAGGGACAATGGCCAGGTGGTGGGATGGGGATGGGAGCCACTGCTGGCCCCCTCACCCTGTTCTCCTCCCTCCCCAGACCAGTACGACTATTTGCAGCAGGCGGCTGTGCCCCTCGCCTCGGAGACCCACGGCGGCGAGGATGTGGCCATCCTGGCCAAGGGCCCCATGGCCCACCTCTTCCACGGGGTGCAGGAGCAGACCTACGTGGCCCACGCCATGGCCTGACCCCATGGCCCCAGGGCCCCCCACGAGCACTGCTGGACCTGCATCCCACCCTCCCCATGGCTGCAGCACCCGTAGGTGGCCAGCAGCTCTTTAGAGCATCCCCAATCTGGATGCAGCAGCCGTGGGGCACTGAATCCCAGACACAGGGGGGCCCTACGCCACCTGCGCAGGGTACTTGGTGGTTAATAAACATGGGGTGTGATGATGGTAGGACAGGCAGTGTGTGGGTCCCCAAGCTGGGCAGGCAGGACTGGGGGTGCTGCTCACTATTGCCTGTCCCCCGGCCACGGCCCCTTTCACCCTCCTGGCACATCCAGCACTTTATTGACCAGAAACAGCAGCGAAAAATACAGCAGACGTCCATGTCCCCACACTCCCAGGGCAGGCTGGCATCGCCCAGCCCCAGTCCCTGCCGGCTATGCCCACCCGCTGGCAGGGCTGATGCAGGGACAGGATGGGGCTGGGACAGGCAGTGCCAGGGAGGGCACTGGGCAGGGGGGCTTTTGGCATGGGGCAGCCCCACAGCATCTCTGGTTCACTCTCCCTGCCCCAACTGGTGCTGGGCTGGGTGTGGTAGGGTTGGATGAAGGGTTTGGGGTGGGTGGACAGAAGAGGGGGTACATGGGTGCCTGGGGGGGTGCCCTGCATCGCCTCCGTCCTCCATGGGCACTCAGGGCAGGAGGTAGGAAGGGGATGGGCAGCAGGCAGCTGCCTCTGAGCAGGAGCTCACACCCACCCCAAGTGTCTCCCCGCTGCCTCCACCCCTCTGGTGGGTGCCTGTCTTTGGGGGAGTGGCCCCCTGCATCACCTGGAGGTGCCCCCTTTGCCTGGAGAGTAGGAAGGGGAGACAGGAGGAGATGGGGAGCGGGCACAGGGTGGCACTCGAGCAGGGAGGGGGGGTGCCAGCCTGCCCGGGGGGGATCAGCCTCACCACACTGAGCACTTGTGCACTGGGTTCATGGGCGAGTTCTTGGGGCAGTGGAAAACCCGTCCGAATTCCTCAAACTGCGAGACGCTGCCCAGGACCCTGCCAGGAGAGGGGAGCAACTCAGAGCCGGGCACCCCCTGCCCCCTCTGCCGCTGCCATGCGCCCCACTTGGGGCACCCCCTCACCCCATCAGCACCCCACCCCCTGCCCCAGGGATGCCCACCCAGCGCCTTCTGGTGCCGTGCTGGTGCCCACCCCACTTTGCATGGCACTGCCAGATGGGGGGAAGGCTGTCACCTGTCATGCCCCCCCATTTTGGGGCTGGATGGTACCTGTAGTGCTCCGGGGCGTGCTTGTCCGTCAGCACCTGCAGGTAGATGGACTGGGATCGCCGCTTGATGCACCAGTTCTGCAGGGGAGACAGGTTCCTATGGGTGAGCCATGGGGTCCTGGCACCCACCGGGGCACATCAGTCCTTCTGTCTGCTGGGGGACTGGGGCAGTGATGCCCTCGTTGTGCTTGTTATTGTAGGGTCTCACGGGAGTCTGTGTATGGGGTACAGGTGGGTTGGGAGCCAGAGCGTAGGGACATGTTTGTTATTGCAGGGTCTCCTAGGGGAGTGGGCTGCCTGGCTGTAGGGTCTCCTAGGAGTTCAGGGTCATGTGCGTTGGTTACTGTGGGGTCTCTGGAGGTGATGGGGGGGCACACATTTGTTATTGTAGGGTCCCCAGGAGTAGCAGGGCTGTGTGGGCTGCTCCTTACAGGGCTGAGCCCTGTGCCCTGAGCCCAGGACCTGCTGATGGAGCCAAGCTCGGCTCCTGGCCACAGGCAGTGGGTCCGGCAGAGCTCTTGCCCCATCCCTTGAGGCCACAGGCCCCACACTGGGTGACCCCCTCAACCCAGTACGTGCCACGTGGGGAGGGCAGGGGCTCACCTGGGCGAAGGCGATGAAGAAAAGCTGATCATGGGTGTATTTCAGGTGGTGCAGTGGGTGCTCAGGGCCGTGTTCCCTCACCCACTTCTGGTAGGCCTGGAGAACAAGGGATGCCCTCAGCGTGGCCTGGGTGCCCCCCAGACCTGCCCTAAGCCTCCCCCTGGAGCCCCCCAGCAACCAGCAAGCTGGATCAGGCCTGCTTCGTGCCGCAGGGAGCAAGGTGGGGCTGAGGGGTCTCCAGTCCCCCCGGTGGGGACGGCACCAGCCATGGCCCCATGGCTCTGCTGGGGTTGTGACGCCCCAGGGTGGGGGGACACTTACATAGTAGGCGAGTTTGAGCCCCCCCATGTCAGCGATGTTCTCCCCCAGCGTGTGTTTGCCATTCACCTGCCAAGAGAGACGTGGAGTGGGCGGAGATGCCCCCCACCCCAGCCAGGCATCCCCCCCATCCCCACCCTGGCACCGAGGCTGTGCCTCAGTTTCCCCCACCCAGTGCCCTGAGGAATTTCCCAGCTGAGGTGTGATGGGTTGTCGGGTCTCATGGCTGGGCAGGGCAGAGCCATGCTCTCCTGTAGGCATAGCGCAGTGGGGAACACCCCCCCGCAGGGCAGTGCATGCCCGGATATTGCCCGGGGTGGGAGGGGGTCTCACCCGCTGGTTGTAGACGGTAAAGTTGTCGTACAGGTTGACGATACACTGCGCCTTCTTCAGGAACTTGCTGTACGACCGCTCCGTCCACCAGTGCACCAGGTTCCCATGCCGGTCGTACTGTCCTCCTGCCAAGGCAGCCACCACCACCACCACCACTAGTCCCAAGGGCCCTGGGTGCCCGATGATGGTGCCAATCCCACCATAGTTCAGAGACCTGTTGCAGGGGGGAGGGAGCAGAGGTGAGTGCAGGGCACGGAGCTGGCAGGGATGGCGGTGCCCCCAGGCCACCCATCCCCTGCCCTGAACCCCCCCCACCCATGCCCCAGCCCCACACTTACTGCGGGAACTCGGGGTCGTAGAGGGTGGGCTGCAGGATGCCAGCAGGGAACACTGGGGACACAGGAGAGCATTGCAGTTGGGGGCCACCCTGTCCTGTGCCCACCTGCAGCATCACCTGGCACCAGGGGACCCTGCACCATGCCC